TAGATGGGACTAGTGGCTCAAGATTTTGTATATTTAACAAGATTCTAGTTCAGTATCAATTAGGCAAAATAGTAGACTAATTATTAATGTAATATCACCCCCCTCCATGCAGATACTGAAGTGAAGGTAGTTCTTTAAAAGATTTTTTTGTTTATTCATCAGAGGCACAGAGAGAGGCAGAGACACAGGCAGAGGGAGAAGCAGGCTCCATGCAGGGAGCCTGATGTGGGACTCAATCCCAGGACTCCAGGATCATGCCCTGAGTCAAAGGTAGACGCTCAACCGCTGAGCCACCCAGGTGTCCCAAACACCATCAATTTAAATCAAATTTAAGAAGTCTTAAATGAGAAGAATTGCATTTTCTTAATCCCATTACTTCCCTCCATCTCCAGTCATCATAAACGAGTCACCCCAGCTCTTTGGTAGATTAAGGTGATGGCCTCCTAAATGGTTTCTCTGCTTCTAGCCTTGCCACCTCTTTTTCATTCTCCAGAATATAGCACTAAAATACATGCTTCAAAAACTCAAAATCTGGTTATTCTCCTGCTCACCTTTTCTCTAAATATAAACTGCCCCTGAGGCCTGAATGAAGGAACCTCTAACACCTTGCCCTACGGATAGCCACTCTCTATGCTACTCCTAGTGAACGTCCTTTAAATGACCTTCCTCTTAAAACCTGGTTTATGCTAGCCCTTTTGCTTAAACCTTCCTTGGCTATCCGTCATTCATCCGTTAGGACTTACATTAACAGCACAGATTAACAGCACTTCTTAGACGACTTCTCTCCACCCCAGGTTAGTCAGATGCATTACACTTTCTTTTAATTACTTACTAGAAGTTATTACTTATTTAAGTGTCTTTTCCTGCTCAGCATCTAGCTCAGCGAGAACAGGAACCATGTTTATCTTGTTCTCTACCTATGGTCAGCGCCTAGATACACTGACATCCAGTAAACAGGTGTATCAACTTTGATTCTAAATTATTCATTAATATGCCAACAAAGTGTGATGATCCTTTTCTAGAACACATGGTGATTAGATCTTTCTTCAATACATTCCTTCCATTGAAAGGATAGAGCATGACTGACCAGACTGCAACTTTCAACTTGATAAAACTTATCTGGAAACCTTGATTATAATTTCATTATAATTTGATATTCACTTGGTCAACATTTAAGTTGACTGAAATTACTAGGTACCACTTAGTTTGTAATGAATAAACAATTAAACCCTAGGCACTAGGGGGAAATAAACATTGAAGAAAGATTGAAAACCGAAAGACAGAACCAATGGAGATTAAAGTCACATAAACAAACAATAACTATAAAACTGGTGTAAAAATCAAAAGTATAAACATGGCCCTAAAGCAGCAAAGAGATAAAAGCATACAATTTGGCTTCTGTAGTTGAGAAAAGCCTTTTTAAGGAAGGTACAGTGCCTGGAAGATAAGCTGAGTGGAAGGAAAATCATCCTCAGCAAACGCAATAGCGTGCAAAGCACAACTGAAGAGCTACTAGGTCTATAGGTGATAGAATTGTAGGAGAGGACTGTGAAAATGTAGAAGAGACTGAAGAAAAAGATTTTCACTGTCCAGGGTTTGGGCTTTGCTCAGTAGAATAAGAAATTTAGAGAACATTCTAAGCAATGGGATAGCATAATCTAAGGAACATTTCAAAATACATACTTGCCTATATGAAAGGAGGCTTGGCTGTAAGCAGGAAGGCCAGTGAAGAGAGCAAGCAGAGCACAGGAGAGGGAACACAGTGGCGATGGGAAAAGAGACAAAGGGGTAAAATGGTATACAGTGTAGGACTTGGAGTTAGAGGTTAGGAGTAATCATCTCTGGCTAAGGGAGATTGTGTTGTGTTCTTGATAGAAACTGTCACTTTGTAAAAGAAACTAAAAACCAAAACCATTCTAATTGGGATTTAGAGAAGCTAATACATTCTTTCTTTACCAAAGTGGAGGATAAGAGAAATAGAAAGTGAGTCAGTAGTAACACCCCTAAAAATGATCAGTCCTGGCACCATTCGAACTTGAATGAACTTTTACATTTGTAACAGTGATTGGTCCATAGTTTTAAAACATTTTCATACATATCATAACAGGGATACATGCTTAGAGTCTCAGAAATTAGTTTCAGAGATGGCAAAATAACAAAAGTAGAAACACTGTTTAGAGAGGACCCAGAAAGAAGGAACCTAGTCAGGGTAAATTTTACTGATAATAGCACAAAAGTGAAAAGCAGTAGGAGTAGATGAGAGACTTATGATCTGATCCATAAGGGATGATCAAAAGCTGTTTAAAAAACAGGTATAGAGGGGATCCCTGTTGGCTCAGTGGTTTAGCGCCTGCCTTCGGCCCAGGGCGAAATCCTGGAGTACCGGGATCGAGTCCGGGGATCGAGTCCCACATCGGGCTCCTTATATGGAGCCTGCTTCTCCCTCTGCCTGTGTCTCTGCCATTCTCTCTCTCTCCTCTCTCATGTGTCTCTCATGAATAAAGAAATAAAATTTAAAAAAAAAAAGAATAATTCTAGTGCCTATTCACTAGGCTCTTTTAGGATTTCAACATCAAAGAGATTGAAGAGCTATATCCAATGATTTCATAAGTTGAATGTTGTCCAAGTAGTACATACCAACTTATCAACTTCAGGAAAGTGAATGATTGGATCTACAAATTAGGATTTATTACACAATACTCATATTTCCCATCTCTCTACATCCCACTGTTCAACTTTCTTGGGTAATTAGTATTGTGATTCTCTGCTTTTCCTTTTCTTACCACCCATCCATAATATAAAATTCAAATAATTTATATATTTGGGATGCTTAAGCCTTCTGTTTTTAGTTTTAAAATGTTGAGTTGCATTTGAAACCCTTTTTTAAAAAAAATCAAATTACAATTTTCTGAGTAATTTTTAGTTGGCTTCAGAGAGAAAAATAACGGTCCCCATTCCTACAGCTATTAGCTGTAATAAAAATCATTATAAAATAGAAACTTTCACCACCACCACTCCCAAATAAATTGCATGTTGCTACTGCTGTCAGTGCTGGTTTTCTAGCTGCTTTCATTCTGAGTAGTGTAAGGAACCTACCATGTTCACTAAAACATTAAAACTCAAGTGACACAATTAAAGTTTTAATTTTGTAGCTGAACTTTAAAGTTTCACACTCCTCTACCTCTTTACCTTCTCTACAACTTTCAGCTTGAAAGAAAGAGGACAGATGGACCTGGGGATTGTTAAAAAGTAAAAATTAAATCTATAATGTTACTTGAGCTCCAAAAGTGTTGTAGTTTGTAAAACTGACAAGGTCCTTTAATTTTTAATGTTTCCCCAAGAGCCTGTCAATTATATAATGCTGTGAGTAATGAATGATATAAAATGCAGTTCCAAAGTCTTTAAGTTTTATTTTTTAGTGAATATATTCATTCCATGTACATTATATTAAAAATTCTAGGACAAAACATAGAACTATTTTTCTCCAACTCCTTATATCTTTGCCTGGGATTTTCACATTGTTGATGTTACTTGAGTCTGTTCTAAGTAGTATTTTACTTTACACATATTTTTAGCATTCCAAAACAAGCTTTATCCAGGCCTACTCACAGAGTATAGTACAGGTAGGGCAGCACAAGCTGCAGATGACTGTTGGCAGTATAATAAATACCTTTTATCCAGGTTATGGGAGAATTAATGGAATGGAGTTAGTGAAAATTCCCATTAAAGATTTAATAATGTAGCTCCAAGGAATCTCTCTAAGATTCTCCTCTCTTACTTTCTCAAGACTCTCATGTTAAAAAAGCGGTTTAAGGTTACAAGCTACTTACCAAATTATCTGAGAGAAAACTTTAAAATTTTTCTACTATTTCTAAAAGAGTTAATAAATAATCTGGCTAATATTCAGTAACTTCAAAGTCAAGTTAGTTTTGTTTTCTGCAAAGATTATGTTGTCAGGGTAGTGTAGAGATTCTTTGTAAGTAAACATAGTGTATGAGTTGATTTTATTAGTTCTTGTTTAAAGTTGTTAGATAAAAAGACTATAAAAAGTGGATTCCAAATTTCCAGTTGATAAGACATCTTTTACCATATTTTCAATAGCTACTTATATTTTGCATACTATATGTAAATTAGGACTAAAGAAATGTCAAATCATCTAATTGTATGTACAGTTGACCGCTGAACACAGGTGTCAGGAAGTCTACCCTCCAAGCCAAATCCTGCAAATAACTTTGAACTCCCCAAAAACTTAACTAGTAGCCTACTGTTGACCAGAATCCTTTCTAAAAACATAAAAGATGATATAACAGCATCTTGTTAATGTTATATACACTACATACTGTATTATTACAATAAAGTAAACTAGAGAAAAGGAAATGTTCTAAGAAAATCATAAGGGAGAAAAAAATACATGTATAGTACTGTACTGTAAAAAATCCATGTTAAAAGTAGACCTGGGCAGTTCTGCACCATTCATACCTGTGCTGTACAAGGGTCAACTGTGTATGTATGCTATATATAGAAAAGAGGGACAGAACAAAGAGACAGAGAAAAGGAGACTTATTTTTTCTGTGTTGCACAGGAAACGTGTTTTTTTTTTTAATTGAGTTTTTCAAAAGAGAAAATATCATTTTGGTTGGGAATCACTTGTTTTAATAAAAGGTAAAACATTGGCATATGAACCACAAGGTGGTGCTATAATTCCATGCTGGTACTGATATTTTTAAAAGTTACTAGTTTTTCCATTAATAGCTGTAATATCTTGATTTTTATAATTTTTTATAATTAAAAAAATCTGATTTGGTTCATTAATTCTATAAATATTTACTGAAATTGTACTAAATTTAAACTTGTAGTTTTGACTTTAAAAACTCATAAGCTTTAAAGTCTAATAACCAAACAGAATACTAAAAAATGTTTTTAGTTATTTCTACACAGAATTTTAACTGTTTCATGTGACAAATATCAAAATACACTTATAGAATATAAACAAAGAATAAATAAAATACAATCAGATTATCTAAATAATAATAAAGAAAAAATATTCCTTTTTCCTTCCAAGTAATGGAATCAATTTTCTTAAAGATTAACCAGGGCTATTATTACATTTTTTATGTATAAAGTTAAAAAAAAGATCATTTGTCTAGTAATGCATCTGGTAATTTAAAGTGAATTTCATTTTTCTCTTGATTTAAGTTCATCTAAGACCTTTCCTCTCTAGAAAAAAATAGAACTTCCCATCACTTAAAAGAAAACAAAAAACCATACTGTGTATCTTGTAATACTGGATGGCCACCATCTGTGTCTGTGCTGCTGGTCTTAAAATGTGTTATGGAATAGAGCACTAAAATACTCAACACATTTTTCATGATGAACTTTCTGACCAGTTTCCAAATACAAAAAGAGAATCATACCTTCACTCTTTCACTGTTAACTGAAAATGTATTACTGCTTTTTGGTTAAACATAAAATCGCATTTTTATTTAATTTTCAATGAGCATTTTTAACTTTTCATTACAACATATTAGTCAGTACAGACGGCAAGATGGTATGCATGAGAGCCTCATGGGTACAATACACAAGTCCCAATTGGAATGTTTCCAACAGGATGTAAACCATAGTCCACAAGCCTGTACTTTAAAAAACATATTACTTAGCACACTGCCAACAAATGTCAACACAAAAATACAGTGCTGTAATGACTTCACTCTGTAAAAGAAATATATTGGCACATAGGTTTTCCTTAGAAAAGTAAAATAGAGTAAAGAAGTGTAATCATAGCATAAAAATAAGTATTTATTCAATACTGGAAAAAACTCATATGCCAAATGGAATTCAAATTCTTCATAAAAATATTGCAGCATATTTAAAATTTATAGAGAATTCTTAAAATATACAACATGTACAGTAGCCAAAGTCCTAGAGAAGTTCCTGTAGAAAATTCTATAATTAATGATTTGGACATTTCAGTAACTCTGCAGTTTCTTCAAACCTGAAATATAAGAAGTAAATAACATTAAGCAAAAAAAAAAAAAAAAAAATCGTAATAAGGCATAGGATTTAAGTGGCTGAAATTATGCTTTTGAACCTAAAATAAATCTCAGTATTTTTCTTATTTATGGATACATAATAAATTAAGGATATACTATGGTCAGAAAGAAGAAACAGCAACCAAAGTCAATTATGAGTCTTTAGTTTTTAAAGCATAAGTTATTTTAGTGCTTATTAATTTTCAAAGCAATACAGTTAAAGTAGTGGGGTGCATAATCTAATACAAGTTCATTTCATATTTCCTTTAAGTGTTCTTTAATAACCATTTATAGATTCACATCTGTACAAGATACAAGTATCATTTTTAGTATTACTTTACCAATACTGTCTGAAAGGCTGGCAATACTTTAACAATACTTAAAATGTTTCCAAACTCTCCACCTACAAATATTATTTAATATTTCGCTAAATCAGTTATCAAAAGTAGATAATACTCTTGATTAACTTTCAACCAAAAATATCTGCACTGTTTAATCCCACAATTAATTCCATTAACAATGTTTTACATCACTTGTTGGAAACCAAAACAGTGACTCATCTCACAAACACATAACTGTAGGTGGATTTATTATCCACTGGAGTCCTGAAGGAAATTCCACACCTGATTGAGAGACCTTTAAGGTTTGAAACACATATGCACTTTCTATATATACTGTAATCCAATACAATTCCCTATAGAGAAATGAATTTCTGTTGCCCCTTTCTGTTACTTACATTTTTTTCATCCTTTCCATTTTCTGGATTGTTGTTTCCTTTAATTTAAAAAGCAACAAATTTAGGCGATTTCTCAAAGTAAACCATCATCAAAGATGGACCACGAACATATAAAACCCACTCTAAAACATTGCATAAAGTACTATTTACTTATCATAAAGAATTTTAACGAGAGATTAAGATTTACAGTTGCACTATTTTTTTTGCCAATGGCATATACAACTAAATCTAATGCTCGCTTGTTCTCCTGACCTTAGAAAGGAAATCATCTAAGCAGTTGCCAGTTTTTCTTACCTCTGAATTCTCTTTCAAACCACAGTAGCTAGTAGTTGAGGTTCTGGGAGTTGAATCTGATGACACAGTACTATAGCCAGAGGAAAGAGGAATACTTGTTTGCCTCTCTTTGCTTTTTCTGTCTGTGGGGAAATTAATTTTTAGGTTATCTTTTCCTTTCACAGTGGAGTCATCTAAATATTTTATGTATAAATGGAAGAAAAACAGACATTTTAATATGAAGTGGCTAATAGTATAGACCCAGATATATTTTTACTATTCTTTTAAGATAACAACCTAGACATAGAGATCTAGATGTTAAAAATAGGCCAGCAAAAGTTACAAAAGGTACTATTATGTTTATCATAGCAAATCAATTGAATAAATAGGCAAGTTCACAATTTTTAAGTGACTCGGGTATATTTTCTTAAAGTGGTGGTAACTATACCACCACTTGGTTAGTTAAGTAACACTGACTATACTTTTTAAAAATTAAGAAATATTCTATCCTAAGTTAAACTGTATGGAAAAAAAAATGCTTAAAATTCAGGGTTTACAGATTTTTTTTCTAAAGAACTGAACAACTTTCTACTTCCAGTATGATACCATTTATTCAACAAAATGATGGTAAATCTTTACAACTAAATCAATTATAAAACATCACAGATAAGACAAGCTGCTATTAAATCAATTCCATAAGCCCTATGTTTAATAGCCAAGATACAGGTAGCTTCAAAATCGAGGCCAAAAAAAAAAAGAAAATTACCCCATTTAAACTGGTTTACATGAGGACTGTTTTATTGTAAACCTACATAGACAACCTCAATTAGGGAAATAGTATTACTACCTGAGGACTGAAAAAACTAGAAAGACTTACTTTCATCTCACATGGAGCCAGTCTCTTTTGTCTACTTTTCTTACCTATTTACTCCATTCCTCTGCTTACTTATCAGCATGAGTCTGAACAAAATGGCCAGCTCAGCCCAGGCTCAACATCATTTGACTAACTTAGTATCCTAATACCAAATTCCCAAGGGAGAGAAAATGATCTGGCTCAACACCTTTTGGTTTGGTATTCCCTGGATTAGGTGTCTACTTTTGATCCAGTTCAATCAAAATCACATTGTACAACCCTGAAGGTTAGGGTTGTACAATTAGGTTAGGTTAGGGTTAGCTCAACCCAGGTCTTTTAGCAGGAGCTGTTGGCAGTAGATGATTTCAAGGAATAACTTGAAACTAAGAAGGAACTATATCTACCATTCCCCAATCTTGAGTTATTTTCTATGAATAGAAGTGTCCTTCGAAAGTATTGAATTATGCTGTTCAAAAATTGCGGGGGGGGGGGTGCGGGGGAGTCCTAGGACAGGAAATAAAGAGTGGGAAGACAGAATGAAAGGTGAATGGAATGGCTCTCTAGATTCTGCCTTCTGGGGCCTAGATTGGAGGGATCTATCTAGCCTCAAGGGTGTACTTCATGATGGGAAAATGCTGGTATTAGGCAGGCTAGAGTGGCAATTCGAAGAGCCACACAGGGCATTCCAGAGATTACAGAATGAGGCATGTACTAAACACAGGCCATATTTAATAGCCAGATCAGTTAAGTGTGTATTACTTTCTGTGACAATTTTTCCTATTGCTTTCCTGAGCTATTGGTATCATCTTCCTCATTTAAACATAATGGCTTCTTAGCTGTGCTATGAGAGTGTGCTAAGGCCATTGTTTTGGAACTTCAGAGTCACCACTAACAGATCTCTGTGAAGACAGGGGATCTCTAAGCTCAAGATTTCCTAGCCAACTCTCTCCGCATGGCCCTCAATCTTTCACTGCCAACTTTGGAGAATTATGACCTTACTGCATTAAGAGAACTAGTTAGGTCCTTTGCCATTTAACTGTACAGGTATCTCCCACTTTTTGAAAGTTCACATTATGCCACTTGTCTTTTACAAAAGAGCCACATTAGCATCTGTTTTTACTAACCAAAAGAAATCAAGGAGGATGTTGACTTTTATGAATAAAGATGAAAAATGAAAATAGCGTTCAGCGCTTGTTTTGTAGCAAGTCATTAAAGAGGCATCACACACCCTGAGTAGTGAGAGTAGCCCTGCCAAACTCCTTCCCTGGCAGTTATACTCAGCATCTGAGCACCAGGGCGCCACAGCTTTGAACTGTTTCTGTAAGCAACTGTGCTTTATCACAATTTAATTATGCATCTGTTAGCAAGATATGTCCTTAGGTATCAGAAAAGCCTCAGAAAAGTTATTTTTTGGGTCTGGGAATGCCCCCAGTTTTTTTATGAATCAATGGTAATTGCTTATTTGCTTTATATCAGTTAGGCTTATGAAAGGTTTCACAGTAATGCTCTTCTTTCCGATAGCAGGGAAACCTGAAATCTGTAAGCCAGTACTTCCCAATCAAGAAAAATTTATGTCCAACTGATTTCCAGATATTTTGCCTAAGTATTTCATACATAATTTGAGATTTTCAAAAGTAAACTATTTTTTCCCAAACTTTCTCCTTAATTTTCTCTTTTATTAAAGAGTAATGACTATGTATCCAGTCACACAAGTCAAACACAAGTGGTCAGTGTTGACTTTTTCCCTCTCCTTTACCACTTCTGTCAGTAATCAAGGCCTAACAGCTAAAAAAAACTCTTCCTCCTTATCCTCACTATTATAGCCTTAGTAGACACTCTCACTATTCTGAAATAAAATCACTGACTCTACAAATTACTGTCCCTGTGTTACATTCCTATAATGAATCACTATTCTGCTTTAAGATGACTAATAAAACAAATCCGATCCTATCAGCTTTGCTAAAATCTTTATGACTCCCATAACTCCATGTTTTTGTCTTTCCACTCTTCTGCTTCAATTTCCTTTATATGCCCACATGTACCCTTCCTTCTCGTTTATTAACTGGAACAACGATTTTGTGATACCATAACTTGATTGATACTTTTCTTGGGAGGAAAAAGCCACAAAAATATCAAAGCAAAAACAGAAAGAGCCTGAGTATCCTCACTGTATCCTCTACTGAATATAATTTCATAGAAAATCAACATCACATACGGTCACTTCATTACCTTGATGAAATAAAAAAGACTACTCTGTCATGTATGATTATAAACAAGGACACCATGTAAGCAGTAACACACAAATGACTAAGTATATTGTCTCCCAAATAACATGAATGCTTCTTTCCCACTGAAAATTTCAGCTTTTTCATTATTATTAATCAAACAGTTCCTGCTTCCTGATAGCACTCAAACTGGAACAACCCTCACTTCTTTAAACTGTCACCAAAATCACTCAGCATAAACCCAATCCTTATAATAAAAAAGCCTCTTCTCGCCCAGAAATCAATGGCATTTCTACACTAACAATGAGACTGAAGAGAGAGAAATTAAGGAGTCAATCCCATTTACAATTGCACCCAAAAGTATAAGATACCTAGGAATAAACCTAACCAAAGATGTAAAGGATCTATACCCTAAAAACTATAGAACACTTCTGAAAGAAATTGAGGAAGACACAAAGAGATGGGAAAATATTCCATGCTCATGGATTGGCAGAATTAATATTGTGAAAATGTCAGTGTTACCCAGGGCAATTTACACGTTTAATGCAATCCCTATCAAAATACCATGGACTTTCTTCAGAGAGTTAGACAAATTATTTTAAGATTTGTGTGGAATCAGAAAAGACCGACCCCGAATAGCCAGGGGAATTTTAAAAAAGAAAACCATATCTGGGGGCATCACAATGCCACATTTCAGGTTGTACTACAAAGCTGTGGTCATCAAGACAGTGTGGTATTGGCACAAAAACAGACACATAGATCAATGGAACAGAATAGAGAACCCAGAAGTGGACCCTGAACTTTATGGTCAACTAATATTCGATAAAGGAGGAAAGACTATCCACTGGAAGAAAGACAGTCTCTTCAATAAATGGTGCTGGGAAAATTGGACATCCACATGCAGAAGAATGAAACTAGACCACTCTCTTGCACCATACACAAAGATAAACTCAAAATGGATGAAAGATCTAAATGTGAGACAAGATTCCATCAAAATCCTAGAGGAGAACACAGGCAACACCCTTTTTGAACTTGGCCACAGTAACTTCTTGCAAGATACATCCACGAAAGCAAAAGAAACAAGCGCAAAAATGAACTATTGGGACTTCATCAAGATAAGAAGCTTTTGCACAGCAAAGGATACAGTCAACAAAACTAAAAGACAACCTACAGAATGGGAGAAGATATTTGCAAATAACATATCAGATAAAGGCCTAGTTTCCAAATCTATAAAGAACTTATTAAACTCAACACCAAAGAAACAAACAATCCAATCATGAAATGGGCAAAAGACATGAAGAGAAATCTCACAGAGGAAGACATAGACATGGCCAACATGCACATGAGAAAATGCTCTGCATCACTTGCCATCAGGGAAATACAAATCAAAACCACAATGAGATACCACCTCACACCAGTGAGAATGGGGAAAATTAACAAGGCAGGAAACAACAAATGTTGGAGAGGATGCGGAGAAAAGGGAACCCTCTTACACTGTTGGTGGGAATGTGAACTGGTGCAGCCACTCTGGAAAACTGTGTGGAGGTTCCTCAAAGAGTTAAAAATAGACCTGCCCTATGACCCAGCAATTGCACTGTTAGGGATTTACACCAAAGATTCAGATGCAATGAAACGCCGGGACACCTGCACCCCGATGTTTCTAGCAGCAATGTCCATAGTAGCCAAACTGTGGAAGGAGCCTCGGTGTCCATCAAAAGATGAATGGATAAAGAAGATGTGGTCTATGTATACAATAGAATATTACTCAGCCATTAGAAATGACAAATACCCACCATTTGCTTCAACGTGGATGGAACTGGAGGGTATTATGCTGAGTGAAGTAAGTCAATCGGAGAAGGACAAACAGTGTATGTTCTCATTCATTTGGGGAATATGAATAATAGTGAAAGGGAATATAAGGGAAGGGAGAAGAAATGTGTGGGAAATATCAGAAAGGGAGACAGAACATAAAGACTCCTAACTCTGGGAAACGAACTAGGGGTGGTGGAAGGGGAGGAGGGCGGGGGGTGGGGGTGAATGGGTGACGGGCACTGAGGGGGACACTTGACGGGATGAGCACTGGGTGTTATTCTGTATGTTGGTAAATTGAACACCAATAAAAATTAATTTATTAAAAAAAAAAAAAGCCTCTTCTCACTGATTTTTACCAAGACACCGAGTCACCTTACAGCTCCCCATAGAAACACTATTTCTGATAAAAGTCACAAAAACCATTCCTAACTTAACATAATCCTAAAATCAGATTGAATTATTGCTCTTCCAAGTGAGATCAAACTCTGCTTCCATGTAGCATGTACATATAAGGTATAAATGTAAGGATTTATATATAAACTTCTAATTGGTCATGGTCAGATTATAAAGTTTCTGAATTTATAATCTAACCCATTTCAGATGGTGGCCTGTGTACTACTCATCAAAGTCACAGCACAGTGGTTTAAACTTGTATATGTGTTAACTAAATGGCTTAAAGGTATGCTATGTAATCATGTTAGTAAAATTATAAGCATGAACATGCAAAAGCAAAGTTGGAAAAGGCAAAGTTTTGCAAATGGCAGGGATTCAATATTCTTTCACTATATAAAAAAAATTGAGCTCTATATTCAGATATTGGAGATAGAAGTACAGACCTAATTTCTGTCTGCTAGACAGCACATAAGGTAAAGATCTTGATATCAAGGATCTCAGAGTTGAGCTTCGGAATTTGCTAAATAAATGAATGAATGATAAATGCAAAGAGGAAACATTTTATCAAATCAGAAATGTGTAGTCTAATAAATTTACTGCCCAAACCACTATGCCATGTAAGATAGGTAAGCTGGCTTTTTTAGCAATCCTTGACTTCAGCAGTCTGTAAATTCAATACTGTCTTTGTTCCAGGAGTTCTGCAATTTCTAAAAAATAAGGCTTGGGAATATTATCAAATATCAATATAAATCATCCTCATGAAAACTCCTTACTGTACCACCAATACCATTGCCATTACATTAGAACTTACCAGGATTCAGAATATCTATGTCATTACTAGATTCGTAGTCTTCATTCAGTTCACTGAAGTCTATATATTCATTATTCTGAAATAACAGATTTTATTTAGAATAAAAGGAAAAGAAAAATGTTCTCCTTTTATATTCTGCTAAGCATAAAATATAAAGGCGATATGATGAATGTTTAAACATTTTTAACTGAACCCGAAATGGAAATCCTAAGTAAAAAAAAAAAAACAAACAAAAAGACTTCTTAGATTTGACAAGGCTGTGGCAAATTTAGTTAACTGTTTCTATGAAATTTGTTCAAAGTAAATGAGTGAAAAAGGAAGTCATAATTTAATTTTTCCTGTCCATTTTTCTATCTTTTCCCTGTAAAAGAGGCCATTTGTCCTAAAGAAATATAATTTTAAGCTTCTCATAAAAGTCAAACAATCCTACCTTATTTTAAATGCTTCGAGGATTAAAAGCTCTAAAAGCTGAACCTACAGTTTTCCAGATTATTGTATTTGATAAAAAAGAAAAACACTAACTGTAACAGCAACAACAAAATGGGTTATATCTAAATAGGACCTCATTTCAACTAAACATTTTCCCACTATCTTAATAGTCTCTTAATTAACTTTTCTAAAATGTACACTTAACAATGAATAAAAACTTGATTATAGGGATCCCTGGGTGGCGCAGAGGTTTGGCGCCTGCCTTTGGCCCAGGGCGCGATCCTGGAGACCCGGGATCGAATCCCACATCGGGCTCCCGATGCATGGAGCCTGCTTCTCCCTCTGCCTGTGTCTCTGCCTCTTTCTCTCTGTGACTATCATAAATAAATAAATAAAAATTTAAAAAAAAAGAAATTAAAAAAAAAAAAAAAACTTGATTATAGCTGAGACATCCTATAAATACTAAGTAAAGAAAATACCTTTTTAGACAGCAGCATTTCTGTTTCAAGAAGAGTGACACGACTTAGAAGATTAGTCCAGGTTTTTTCATTTACCATCACTTTTCCTTTCATTTTTTCTTCCAAAGATTCTAATCTACTCTCTACCAAAGCCAGTTTCTGAAGCTTTTCTTGGCATTCAGTAAGCATTGTCTGTAGTGCAGTAATCTCAGGATTAATTCTAATATCCTAAAATGAATAGAAAGGTTAAAAATCATATTACACAAACTGAAATTCCTTTAAAAATCAACATATCCCCATTTTCACTGCACTGTGTTGTTTCAATAGTTACAGCAGGCAGTATAGCGTGAAAGTTGAGTGTGATCTGTAGAGGCAAGATGCTTGGGCAGTGAAATTACCTCATCTGAGGTGTATAACCCTGATGTCTCAATTTCCTTATATATACAAAAAAAACCCCACAAAAACCCCCAAGAAACCAGTACCTACTTAATGGGGTTCCTGTGAGAATTAATTTGCATAAAGCTCTTGGAAGAATACCTGGTGGTATGATAAAACTGTCACTAACTAGCTTTTGTAATAGCCTTTAGCACAAAGCTAAGAGGGAGTGGCCAAAAAATGATAGTGCATTGAGACTGTTCAGTTTGCTATATATGGGAAGTAAGTTTAATGACCACGTGGTAGATTTTATAAAGGACAACTTGTATACTGTGATATACAGAAGTTACCAGATACAGAAGAAAGACAGAAAAGTTTAGCAGGAGCAGTATGGATTAGATGCTATATAATAGGGTCTGTGGCAATGAAATAACAGGAAAGGTATTCAGAAAGTGAGAGAAAAGGACTCAAGGGCCCAAAAAGGAAAATGAAGGAGATAGATAGTAGAGAACCCACATGGTACAGAGTAGTACCATCTCTATCTCTTGCCAGACTATAAATTCCCTGAAGCAAAAAGTACTATCTCTTATTCATCTTTGCCTTACCCATAACACCTGGCCCAGTACCCTAAACATAAGCAGGAAATAATATCTGTGGAATCATATACAGTAGACTTATTTATTCTTAAATAATGGTAACAAAGGTGTTGTGTCACGGTTAATAATTTGAAAGCTTAGAGACATTCCAAAGCTTAGATGCTTAAGTAATTATGTCCATCAAAGTAAATACTGGCATCAGCTAAAGAAGTCCAAAATTCTTACTTGTTGTTCAGACTTGATTTCAAGGAACTTTACTTCAGGAACCTTTGTTTCAGTAGTCTTTAAGTCACATACATCAAAAGCTTCTCTAACATCTGTTACGGTACTTATTGTATCTTCAGGAATGTTAAGGCCATCTTCATTATACAGGTGACGGATCACCACAGCTTTTTTCTGCACAGAAAAAATACATCAGAGCTGCATTAATAGTTTTCTCATATAATTATTTTAAACATACACGTAGTAATTTTGCAAAAGAAATATCCATCTTCCTTTTAAGTATTACAAAAGTTTATTTTTAAATGTTTTAAAAAAGATTTTGTTGATTTACTTGAGAAAGAGGGGAGAGAGAACGAGAGAGCGAGAGAGCGAGACCATGAGCAGGGAAGAGAGGGAGAAGCAGGCTTCCCATGAGTAGAGAACCCGACTCAGGGCTTGATCCCAGGACCCTGAGATCATGACGTGAGCTGAAGGCAGACACTTAACCAACTGAGCCACCCAAGAGCCCCAACATTTACAAAAGTTGAAACAATATATTAAGGTATATGTCAAACACTATTGATTAAAATGTTATTTATATCATTTATATTATTTTGTGTAATGATGAAATTGTGGTCGTGATATTTAGAGAATTATGTACTAAAAAAATTGAAATACCTATTTCAATGATGTCTGAGATTTGACTCATTGTTTCAGATTTGGGGGAAAGATGTTGGAAAAGTGGTTATAGTACTGATAAAACACAATTAAGGAGGGGTTGATAAACTGCTGATAGTGAGAAAGGATACTTGAATATTCTTTTTTTTTTTTTTTTTTTAATTTAACAGAGAGAGAGCACATGCACACAAGCAGGGGAGCAGCAGGTAGAGGGCGAGGGAGAAGTAGGCTCCTCACTGAGCAGGGAGTCCAATGTGGGGCTTGATGACAGGACCTTGGGATCATGACTCAAGCAGAAGGCAGACACTTAACTGAGCCATCCAGGCACCCCAGCAATGGGTACTTTTATAAATGTTTGAAATGTTCCATAATTAGATAATTCTTAACACTGAAACATTTTCTTTCAATTTTCCTACCTTTCCTGAAGTTATAAACCTGCCAGTGCTGTCCATGCCAACAGATTCTGTAGATGTCTTCTCAGTGCTTAAAGGTTCTGACTTAACAGAACTGATTTTCTTTCTTTGTTGTGATGGAATCTTTAAAAAAAAAAAAAGTATTAAGACTAATTTCATGTAAAAGCTGACATATTTAAATTATATTTAAATTTTCATATATGAAATATGGCCAAATAATAAGTATCTGATGAGACAGGTCTTTTGAAAACTAAGAAGTGAGGAAATGTTTGAACTGTTAGCTTAGGACTAGTAGTTCAAAGTCACAAACGCTTAAAAACAAGTGACCAGTACTTAAAGGAAACATCAGGTGTGAACATTACAATAATTGTACTTCTGTGTTAGTTTGCTATCTAGGGGATTGACTTTATACATTAAAATACTAGGCCACTTGGAATAAGTTAAAATGAATTAATAAAATTACCTTCTCAAGACTACTTAATTCCTTGTGCTTTTTCATCACACAATTCAAAATATCACAAATAATTTGGATTTTCCATTCTGCAAATCCACATTGGAGAAACTGCTTTTTTGTCAAGATTGGTTTATAATTAAATTGATCACGAAGAAGCTGTAAAAAGGGAATAAATCAAAATCCAAAATGATAAATGGCCATCTGATCAGGAATGTAAAACCATCTCTGAGAGGAGAAGGGAGGATCAAGCCATTGGACTAAGGGTACTAAAGAGATTTATTAGGGTGGTATGAGTCATGACCAGGTAGGAGAGGTATTCGCAGAGAAAACAGGTAGCTAGAAAGTAGCAGAGAATAGATGGCTGTCCAGGGAGATGAAAAAATATAGCCCATGATCAGAAAGTTCAAGTATCTTCATTGGTACTAAAAACCTCCTTAACTTACTAGATAATAAATACCATACCAGATGTCAGAAAAATAATTTAATTCTTCTAGCACATGACTTCTTAGACAAATTAGTAGGCCTGAGTTTCAATGTCTCATTTGTAAAGTGAGAGAAATAGATCAACTAGATCAGCAATTTTCAAAGCCTACATTACAGAACCCTAGGATTTTTTAGAAGTGCCTTTTAGGTTTCCATAGAAGCTTGCTGGGGTTAGAGGCAAAGATAGGGAAGATGAGACATAGACTCTGCACATAATAGGTCCCATTTTTTCAAATGCAACTCACTACTTAAAAAAATAAATTGATTTGATAAATGCGTTTTATTTTAACAACAGTGAGAAAACCAGTGAGTAAAAATTAATGGTAATCTGAAGGTATTTTTCTAATCATGAGATTAAGTTCAGTATACATACAGTAGAAAGGTAGATACTAGAGTACATATAAGACATGGTCCCAGGAAGCCTGGGTGGCTCAAGCGGTTAAGCGTCCACCTTTGGCTCAGGGTCCTGGGATCAAGTCCCATATCGGGCTCTCTGCTTGCAGCCTGCTTCTCCCTCTGCCTATGTCTCTGCCTATCTCTCTCTGTCTGTCATGAATAAATAAAATCTTAAAACAAAACAAAACAAAACACATGGTCCCAGACCTCAACAAACAAAATCTCAAAGCTGTAGTTCCCTCTTACAAATAACTAAATTAATCATAATTCTACAAACCACAAACCTCACTGAATAGTCACATTTCTAACTTCTGCCAATATGCCAAATTTTACTAACATTTGATATAAAAAGAGCAAATGGTAACCAATGACAAATGTTTACCAACTGCCACTTATTAGATTATAAAACATAAAGGAAACTTAAATTATATCTTGATTCTAAGGCATCCAAATGAGAAATGCATTTGAAAATATGGGTTGCACATATATTTAAGGGATTATTATAAAACCCTTAAATCATCCAATGACTCCTGAAATAATTCATAAACTCAAAAATACCTTATAGACAGTATCTACAAAACGCAAGTCATTCTTCGCTATGAGCTCTATGTTGGATTCCATTAAAAGTTCTGCTATATAAGGTGAATATGAGGTAAGGGAATAGCTGATGATGGGCAAAGATGCTGCTGTATCTCCCTTTACCAAACTGTTCAGGAGAAAAAAGAAAAGATATTTAATGAGCATAATTTCACAAAGTTAGATTAAGAAATATAAAATATGGTGTCAATAATTTATAAATTAATCCAAATAATTAGGAGATACACAAAACCCTTTAGATTCTATCCCCTACTCTCAGTATAGCCAAATTACTATGAAATAAGTTATTAAAAATTTAGCTCTCTAGTAATAGTACAGTCTATTCCCTACAGTATTTGAGTTTGCAAAGTTCAGCTTTACTTAATCAGTCCATTTTCTCTAATTAAATGTACCACCTTATAGTGCTCAAGTACACATTATAGTTTTGCAAACACTTGTTTTAGTACTTCATTTGCTCTTTATAATAAACCTGCAAAGGTAAAATATTATGAATTCTATGTTACAGAGAGAAAAACAGTGCTGGAAAAGGCATCTGCTATAACAGGGTTGATCAGTTTGCAATCTACCACTTATATCTGTGCCGTAATAGATTATGCTAATTTCTCCAGTCTAAAAAGGTTATCATTCTTTTCTGCCTGTTATTTGCTCTTATGAATTATTTGGCAAATCTCAAGCCTTCCAGGAAGCCATCTTCAACGTTCTGATCCATACTGATGTTTCGAAGAACTGAGTCCCAGAGCATTCAGTGTCTAATGCCTCAGCTCGGTCTTGTACTGTTTTCTATTTGTCTACACATATGAACCTTGTTTTCTCAATTGAAGTATCTTCACCGATTCTCTCACAACAAAGCAAGGAGGTATTTGTTCAATCAGCCAGTTATATGTTCAACCAAAGTAAAAATGTACTTACAGAAAACATTTATTTTCCACAAAATACAAGACATACGTAAATTTCTCCATCCTTACTCAAAATTTTTTAAAAAGGCAGAGAACAAGTGTATAATGATAAAATTTTATTTTTCAGGACAAAACACATTATTTCTTTTACATTTATGGGTACAATAATATTCTACCCAATGAGAAAACTGATCTGACAACCTTGTTTATTAGTTCAAAACAGAACATATAAAAACAATACTTTTGAACAGCAAAATCTGTCCATTTTCTGCACATAAGGACTAAAAGACAGCCTGGTCTACATTTAATACTTCTTGTTTTAATTCAAAAATCTTGGTTATCTAGTTTTTAAAGGGCTTTGATTAGAAATAGTAATAAAACAGCTCTTATAAACTGGAACAGAGACAGAAACAGCATATGCTGAGAAAAAGTTTAAAAATGGATAAGTAATAGAAGGAATCAAAATATGTGTGGGGGGAGTGTGTACGTGGGTGAGCGGAGTAATCTGAATTAGCAGCAGGTAGCATTATCTATTTCAACAGACCCAGAAGAGTTACTATGTTGTGAAATAGTCTAAATATTAGTGTTCTTAATGATACTCCTACGTCAGAAAATCAAAGCTCAAATGCCATGCTCAAAAGATATGAGAACAATCAGTATATTTTCCAAGTATTTCCATCCAGAATGTATCTTAAAATGAGGCTCCAAGTAGTAAGAAGAAAACATGGCTATTTGGACTGGTTAAGTCCCAGCAAGACTAGAAAAGAGAGATTTCCTTGTTTTAATGAAGCAGGATTGGATTGGTATGTGCTATGCGAACCTTCTGCTTCTCACAAAGAAGGCCTGGAATCAGCCATTAGACTTCAGTTTCCACCCCCTGTCCTCACTATCCTTTCATCTGCAGTTATCTCTTGGGGTTATCTCTCCCTACTGTCCATCCACTCTTATATGTAAAGCACATTACTTCCGGATTCTCTTTTTTTACTGTTTTAACCAAGTTTTACTCTACTACTAGAACATACACCTAATATGGACTTGTCCCTTGACATTTCACTCAATGAATAAATAAGTGTCTAGTTAGCTACTAACACGTGCCAGGCATAAATCTAGATGCGGGGATACTGCAGTGGACAAAACAAAGTATCAGTCTATAGTTTATATTCTAGTGGGGAATACTTTTAATTGATAATCCCAGGTAAGAAGAAAAAGGAAATATTAAGGGGTAGGAGATGACAAAAGTACCATATTAGAATAGCATGAATATAGAAGAAATGCATGTTGCTACATTCTACAAAAGCAAGTAAGTCATAGTTTGAAAGTGAAAACTACACTGAAAGGTTCAAGTGGGGTCTATTAAATGAGTTAGCTTAATAACAAGCTTTGTGCATGGTGTAAGTTGTCATAAGAAATCCATTAACTAGAATTTTCGAAATTAAAAATACCGTCTAACTGAATGTGAGAGGATAGCAAATTATATAATTAGATCCACCATACTTTTATGAGTTTAAAAATTGTACAGAAACCATACCTTATATGGATATATATTGTGGTTCTACTTCTAAAAGGTGTTTTAAATCTGTTAGAATTTTTCATTGACCCATATTTGAAAAAAAAAACAAAACTCCTATAATCCTCTGCTTTCTAAAATATTTTCATCATTTCAAGGAAAAATTTTAAACTGACACAAGTAAAACCTGTCTTTAGGTCAAATCTTACCTCAAATCATTATCAAAAAGAACACAAGTAAGTTTGATACATAGCTTACCCTACACAATCCACCTCTTGAGGATAATTTAGCATGCGAAGCACTTGTTCTAGGTTCCGTAAGCTTCTTTTTAAGTCACCTGTTGCCATTATTCAACATTACATTCAACTCCTGCTTTCAATAATCTAATTTTTCACCTAAAAATAAATCCATAAAACACTGGTTAAGTCTATTTCTGAATCTTCTCTATTTTGTTCACATCTCTAATAGGGACTTACTATATTTATTTTATCCTAGGTATTTTCCGCTAAATTATCTTTCCTACTGGTCCAGTACTATCGTCTATATACAGTATATTCCCGAATAGAAGATAAGCTTTTTCCCCCAAATACTTCTTTTTCCTTACAAAAAAATAAGTTTGCCTTATGTTCATATTCTTACAAAGTGTCTCACGGTACTCTACCAAGTACTTTATTTTGAACAAAGTACCATTTGGGAAGAGACATCAACCTGAAATAATCTCCATCAGTGACTATTTTAGATGATTATAAAGGTTACATAATAAAATCAGTAAAAAATGGAGACAAAGGAATTTATTACAGATTTAGTCATTATTCCCAGGGCTTTGAACTCATAGTTATCCATAAGATGTTTTGCTTAGAAAGTAAAAATTGAGTTAAAAAAAATTAGGAATTGGCTGGTAAAATATGATGGGAGACAGAACATAAAGACTCCTAACTCTGGGAAACGAACTAGGGGTGGTGGAAGGGGAGGAGGGCGGGGGGTGGGGGTGAATGGGTGACGGGCACTTAGGGGGGCACTTGACGGGTTGAGCACTGGGTGTTATTCTGTATGTTGGCAAATTGAACACCAATAAAAAATAAATTTATTATTAAAAAAATAAAAAATAAAATAAAATAAAAAAAATAAAATAAAATGGCTAAATGCCTCCTGGTCAAGAAAAAAAAAAGTATATGTTATCTTTATCTCTTTTGTTTAAACATCACTAAAATGAAAGTAAATGATTAAAAACCACATATACTCACCAGGGCAAAATGAGTTAGAGGGGATTCCACATGATAGAAGAAGTATCAACAAAATCTTGGAAGATGGAAAGCAGATGAATAAGTGAAAACCAACCTAGCAGAGCAGAGACAGGCTAATCCTGTCTGCCCATTTAGGAGGAAACTACCAGCGCCAAGATAGGTTTAGAAACGAAGGCCCCTAATGCTTTTGAAAGGCTAAGGGGTAAGGCCAAGGGGGTTGAAATAAGGATGATTATTTGAAAGTCCATGAAAGAAAGGAGCTGCTAAACCCTAGATTTTTACTTTTCCTCCCTCCCTTACCCCCTCCCACATACTTTGTTCAGCTAGGCAACTACCTCTCTGCTTCCCCAGGTTTAGCAATGAGATTTTAGATAATATCAGAGCACAATCAATAACTTTTTAAAAAATGGTGAGTTGTACATCATTAAAATTTAAAATTTCTTTTCTACAAAGGCATTGTTAAGAGAATGAAAAGATAGTTTACAGACTGGCAGAGAATATTTCCAAAACACATAGTAAATAAAATACTTGTTTCCAAAATATACAAAGAACTCTTATAAGAATAAGAAGAAAAACCCCAGCCAATTAAAAAATAGGCAAAATATCTGAATATTCATCACACCAAAGAAGACATACAGATGACAAGCATATAAGATGCTCAGTATTACATATCATTAAGTAACTGCAAATTAAGAGACACTGCTACACACCTATTATAATGGCTAGAATCCAAAAAATTGATGATACCAAATGCTAATATGAGAATATGGAACAAAAGGAATTCTTATCTATTCCTGGAAGAAATATAAATGGTATAGTTGTTTTGGAGGATAGTTTAGCAGATACAAAGCTAAACAGTCTTAAAATTAGCAATCATGCTAATAAGGTATTAGCCAAATCGAACTGAAAAAGTATGTACATGTTACATCCTGCATTTGAATGTTTATAGCAGATCTATTCATAATCACCAAAATGTGAAAGCCACCCAAATGTCCTTCAATAGGTGAATGGATGAAAAAAAAAATGTGGTATCTTCACACAACAGCATATTTAGTCAGCAATAAGGACATGAGCAGTGACAAAAAGACACTGATGGATCTTACCGCATCTTCCTAAGTGAAAGAAATCAGTCTGAAAAGGCTACATACTGTATGATTTTAATTATATGACATTCTGGAAAAGGCAAAACTATAGTGACAGTAAAAACAAGAGAGATGAAAGGTGGTTACACAAGGGCTCAGAGGGAAGGAGAAGAGAGGGTTGAATAATGTAGGAGAAATTTTTAGGGTAGTGAAAGTATTCTGTATGATACTGTGATGGTAGACATATGACAGTATGTGTTTGTCAAAACCTATAAAACTGTATAGCACAAAGAGAACCCTGATGTTTGTAACCTTTAAAAAAACATTTATAAGTTGGTAAACCCCAAGACAGAATGCAGACTGTGACAAGAGAATCTATATTACCAATGTGTGAAACAACCTCATAGAAGTGGATGGGTGGAAAAGGTGCTAAGTTAACTACCGGAAATGAGTGGAGCCTGTAAGGCTAAAGACAAAATCACTTGCATATAAAAACACTGTACCCTAGTTTATAAAGTTGTTTCCCATGTATTTATGAATTAATTGATACCTCTATGCATTCACCCTGGAATTGAACAATTAAGTAAGTAGATCGATACTTCTATGCATTCACCCTGGAATTGAACAATTAAGTAAGTAGATCGTAGGAGTCAGGTTTCTTACTGCTAGGGTGGTAGTTTATAGATTAGTAAGGAGAGCAGACTAGGATGAGCCATGCCTGTCTAATCAGAGTTAGACACATCCAGAATGAACTTCATGTTCAGCTTAATATAGATACAGATAATTATATACTGAAGTACCTCTCGATATGGGTATACTAGCTGTCTATAAATGCATATGTCCTTTCTCTGCCAGCTGAAAGTGATTAAAAGCAACAACACCACAGCAGTAAAGAGCACACTTGGTATTCAGATCTTAGCGTGTAATGTTGTTCTCCAATAAAAGGACACGACTCCTTGGAGAAATGGTAAATTCTAAGACTGGCAGAGAAAATATACAAGATGAGCCTGACGTATCACATAGTTCCAGAAAATGAGAAAGCATACAAAAAACAAACCAATCCCAAAGTGATGGGGGTTATGTCAATAGGACACAGGAAACAGTTCCCAATAGTCAAAGGTGAAACTATCTGAATGACAAAATTAATACTATTGGATTATAATCCAAAGTATAAGCAAAACAAAAACTGAATCACTATAATTCAATACATTAACATATAAAGGATAAAATGCAATCATTTTAATACATTTCATAAAATTCAACATTCCTTTGTGATATAATTCTTAGAGGATATTAGAAATGGAAGGGAACTGTCTGCATTTGATAAAGAATATCTACAAAAACAAAAACAAGACAAAAAACCCTACTGCAAATGTCATACTTCATGGTGAAATAATGGAAGCTTTCTTTCTGAGACTAGGAATGAATCTTGTTTCCTCTCATTTCTCTTAAACATTGTAATAGAGTACAAAAATGCAAGAAGAAGAAATAAAAGTAATAAAGACTAAAAAAGAAGAAATAAAATTGTACCTATTCACAGATGACATAATTGTCTACAAGAATCCAAAAGAAATAAGTGAATTTAGCAAGGTTGCTAGGTAGAAGGCCAATACATAAGAACTAGTTGTATTTCTCTGTATCAAGTAATTATACGATTTTTAAAACAAATTTTCTTGTATAAATCAAGTAGCCTCAAAAGTATCATGTGTGTGAATAAATCTAGAAAAGATGTATAAGATCTCAAAACAAAAATCCTAAAACTTTTAGATTTATTAAAGAAGCCCTAAATAGAAAAAGTATACAACTTGTTTAATGATTAGAAGACTCAATAAATTGATCCATAAATTCAATGCATTCTCTTCTCCCTCAAAAAAAAACAAACAAAACAACAACAAAAAAAAAACAAAAGACCCATACATAAATGTAACATTTAGAATCAGTGAAATTATGCACAAACAGAACAATGGAACAGAAGAGTTCACAAAAAGACCATGCATATATTGACACTAGATTTATGACAAAGTTGATGCTGAGTAGCCCTGGAGAAAGGATGGTCTTTTTCAATAAATGGTACTGTGTCAATTTAATATCCAGATAGAGTAAATAAATCTTGATCCCTTGATGTGAATAGTACCTCACATCTTTTACCAAATTAATTCCAGGTTTGTTGAAGATCTAAACATAAAATTCAAGACAACCAGGCTTGCTGGAGATCATAGAGGAGAGTATCTTTGATCTTCAGGTAGAGAAAGATTTTTTACCTAATGAATGAACCACATTAAAATTAGCAACTCTTCATCAAAAGACATCTTCAAGAGAGTGGAAAGATAAACCACTGAGAGAAAAGTATGTTGTGGATGTATTAAACCAGCAAAAGGATTCATATCTAGAATATGTAAAGAATCTCCTTCAAAGCAATAAGAAAAAGAAAGACGATAGAAAATGGGAAAGAGAACTGAACAGGAACTTTCTAAAAGAGTAAATAGTGAAAAGACATTCAATCTTATTTATCACTAGGAAATTCCAAAGTAAATCCAAAATGTGAATCTATAGAAAATCTGAAACTCACACAATGCTCTGGAAGGGTAAATTAGTACAACTACTTTACGGAAAATTTTAGGGTGATATCCACTAAGTCTGACATATACAGGGCCTATGAAACAGCAATATGATTCTAGAGAATACATCTATGAAACAGTATGTGTATGTACATGTGCACCAAAAGACAGGAAAAATATTTGAGATTTTAAATAAGTTCATTTTTGTAAATACCAAAGAAAATACCATGGAACTGTATTTTTAAATGACTCATTGCAATGTGTAGAGTTTTCAATCTGATTCTCAAAGAAGATGATTCCCAAAAGAGGTTCATATAATAAATACTGATAGGCAAATAAATGATAAGAAAGAATCTTTGTTAGTGGGACGCCTGGGTGGTTCAGCAGTTGGGCGTCTGCCTTTGGTTCAGGGTATGGTCCCGGAGTGCTGGGATCAAGTCCCACATCGGGCTCTCTGCATGGAGCCTGCTTCTCCAACTGTCTGTGTCTCTGACTTTCTCTGTGTGTATCTCATTAATAAATAAATAAAATATTTTTAAAAAAAGAATCTTTGTTAGAAAAAGCTAAAAGCCTTCTAAACTGTAAGTCTAATCAAGCAGTAAGGCAAAGCTCAGTAACACACTTAAAAATATCTATTTTTAAATGTATGGACACTTCATAGAAGGAAAATATATAACAATACTTTGAATAACGAATCCTCTGGGAATGAAGCTCCTTTAAAATGAAGTCATAGACATTAAAAACAGAACAATTCAGAAATCAGGTAAAGTAGAGTTAGTATAATCTTCCCCCAGTCAACATTCCAGCAGTTGTCTAGGATATAAAACATCTCCTTACATACTTTCTCTGTATTAATAAGGTCAGCAATTTGCAAAATCCTAAATTTAGTAGGCTTTCTATTTTGAGCCCCTAGCCACTCAATGCTGCTTTCCCCCCTTTTTAGGAACACAGTATCTTCCTGTTCCAAGACTGTTCTCCTTTAGGGATATGGTAAAGAACAGGTTATTGAATATAATTTATAAACATGCATGGATTTTAGTATTTTTCAGTTAATCAATTACTTCTAAATATTTACATTTTTTAGGCAGAAGGAATTTCAGGTACTGCCAAATGGAAGATAACTAGAAAAAGAGGGAGTGATTCTGAAATCACATTATACAAAATACTGGCCAAGAAAATAGAGCTTATTTAACACCTTTTAGGATGACTAGTGATAGATGGACATAGGGAAACAGTAAGAGAGGGCTTCCCAAGACCAGCCTTACTTCCCTGGGAGATGAAGTGGCATCCAATCTGGTTGTAACTGCAAAAAAAATATATATATATTCTTAGGTACTGCCACTAGCCAATATAGTATTGTATTACGTTCCAGACCTACCTATCTTAATATGATTCTTCTAGGGGTACCTTTTCCATCTAAGGCATTCTATAACTTTTATATAAATTGTGTATCTCTCCACAGATTTCCTTTAATTCTTTCAAATGTATATTCCATGCTTCTAATACATGTAATTTTGTTTAATACTTTGTGGTATCTTCCCTTCCTCTGAAGTCCTGGAACATATGTCAATGTCTCAGATTTCTACCTCTGATAATGGAATTTCTGACAACAAAGTATGTCCTTGGAACGCATCCTCTTCCATATCAGCAGAACAAATATTTTGAAGAAGGGTAAGATACAAGTACAGGTTGAATCTGCAGGTGAAGGAGATAAGTAATAAAACAGGATAAAAAAAAAGGGATAAAAGTGAGTATCATACAAAAAATGACAGCTACTGTTCAACATTTTCATGAAAGACTTTGCTAAATATATTACAAAACTGAAAAATACTAAAATTAAGGTATTAAAGGAAGCCAATCTACAAGTTACGTGCATTTTATTATTAGCACAGTACCTGCAGAAATGAAAAATAACTTGTAACTTTTTTAAGCTTGATTAATGTTTTCACTTTATAACCCTTATCAAAAGAAATGAAGAGAAGAACTATTTGTAGCACAGATTCCAACCATTAAGGTGTACTCAGTATTGCTTCCTAGCATCCTCCGGAGAGGTCTCTCCACAAGTCAGATCTGCCTAACTACTTTTGTTGGGGGAAGACACGGGGATCCCTGGGTGGTTCAGCGGTTTAGCGCCTGCCTTTGGCTCAGGGTGCGATCCTGGAGACCCGGGATCGAGTCCCGCCTCGGGCTCCCTGCATGGAGCCTGCTTCTCCCTCCTCCTGTGTCTCTGCCTGCCTCTCTATCATTAAATAAATAAACAAACAAATAAATAAATAAATCTTTTAATATATATATATATATATATATATATATACACACACACACTATTGGGGGAGACGCCGTGAAAACGGAATACAATAGCAGTTTATGATTTTTAATCTAGCTCAGTCTCCTTGCAGTCAGAGTTCCTAAATGATGCCTCCCCATGGAATGCCACTGAACTCAGAGTGATTTTTGTTCAGAATGAAGCAGGTACACGGACTTTAATGCTTACGGTCCATGGCTAAGAGTTTGTGACATATCTTACAATACTAGATTTTATCCAAAAAAAAAAAAAAAAAAACAAACAAACAAACAAAAAACACCACAAACAAAAAACTCGTCATCAAAAATAGATAGGAGGTAAAATCAAGCTTACGAAATTTTCGCAAAAGATATTCGGGGGAAACACTGGTCTAAGAGATACGCAGAAAGGTCTGGAAAAGGAAAAACACCGAGAATATTGGGAGAAACACAAAGAGGGTGCGGGTCGAGCATAGAGCTCAGTAGGCTTGCCAGGCTCACATACAAAGCGCTCACGAATATAAAATATTTGTGGGTCGCTTTAGGACAACAGCCTTGGGTACCCATAATTTCGGAATCAAAATGCCCAAGACTGATTTTTCCCCCCTTAGAGAGGTAAAAAAATAAATAAATAAGATAGATAGATAGATAGATAGATAGATAAATAAATAAATAAATAAATAATAAAAATAAAAAAACCTAAATTGTCTAGAAGATGGAGAAATACAGAAAACCCGGGGAAACGCAAGCAAGGGAAACTCTCGACTTTTCACCTCTTCCTTCCAGTCCGCATTTCAGAGGAGGCTGGTCTTTCCTGAGCTCAGAGCTTCCAACGGAAGGAATCAGCCTGTAACTGGCCCACCCTAACCCTAAACTGAGCTGGCTGCCACGAGCCCCCCTACTTGGCTCTTTATCCTAAGGAAGGCCACACCGGCCGAGTGTACAGGCGGGGCACTTCCACGACTCCCCTCCCTCCCTCCGTTCCATTTAAAAGGACGAAAAGGCACACCTGGTCATTCGCTCCCGCCCGCCGTTTCGGAAAGGGCAGCAGAGAGAGGCTTCCCCTGCATAACCCGGGGCGCGCGGTCGCCAGCCTCCCCGGCAGCCGCCGAGCACGGAGGAGGGCCCCGAAGGCCTCCCGCCCCGCTCAGCAGGGACAGGGGGAGACAGCATAGGCGACCGGAGCGAGCCACCCGAGCCCGGCTACGGCAGCGAGGAGCGGCGGCGGCCCGAGGCTCGCGTCGACCGTTTGTATCTCAACAGCGGGTGGAAGGAAGCCCGCCGCGCGCCGCGGCAAAACCTTCAAAGCTGCCGGCTGCTCGGTGCTTCACGATTCCTCGCTGCAGATTCCACACCACGTTTGTCCAGACCCCTGAGGACGCTGGCTCTGCCGAGGCGCTTTTCGATGGCCAGCCCGATCCCAAGTTGCACATTAAAAGTCTGCCTAATGTTAGTGCTTAGAGTAGCTCGGGGGACGAAGTGAGAAACGGGGGACCTATAGCGAATCGTAAATACCGGGAACAAAAACGCGGCCTCTCTGAGGCTCAGAACCCCAACGTCACTTCCGGCAACAATAGGAAACGTCAAAAAGTCGGACGGTCGGCAGCTCTGCCTGCTGCAGCTTGAGGTGCGCGGAGTTCAGGGGGATCCTGTGCTGCTTTTGGCATTCTCGCTGCTGTTAGCTCCACCCGGCGGGAACGAGTAAAGTCTGAACCGGCTTCTCCATGGCCTGGGCATCAGTTCCTGGCTGAGCCATTTTCTTTTTTGACTAAAAGCCCCCGCCCAGAGGCCGATTCGTCGCGGCGGCGGTGGGGATCGCAGGTCGCTCAGGTACAAAATATTTCAGAGCTCTTGCCTCTCTTCTTCTGCATACTTTTACTTTTCTTCTCGGGAATAAAGACAACCGGTGCTTGCCAGTTGGCAGAAACTTGCCAACCAGCAAGACTTTGGGGCCAATGGCAGCGCAGAGCATTTTGAGTGACAGCTGCGGCGGCTTGTTAAAATGTGAGTCTGTACCAGGAGGCGGGAGTGGGTGTGTTCTTATGTTTCTAGGCCACTGGAGTAGAGGTTAACTTGGGACCCCAGGGAGTGTCCCAGCCTCGCTATGAAATAAAGCTGAGACATGGCAAAGGTTACTCTTTTCAAGCCCAAGTGCTGCTTTTCAAATAGAGTGTTTTCTTGATGCATATGCAGTTTTCGGTTCTTTGCTTACTTTTCAGTGATACGAATGCAAACACTTTTACTTAAGATCATGATGGCTTTGCCCGGTGCCTCAGATGTCACAATTTTGGCAGGTTCTTAATTTGTCTGTTTGTTTTCTTTGTGACCGGTCTCTACTCTCTTCCATGGCGGGTGTTCCGATTAAATATTATTACATGAAACTGCATAAGTTAGTCCCAATCCTCACTGATTTTATCTTTTTGTTTTTATTTTTAGGTTACGTAAGCAATTAGTCATTAAACAACGGAGTCTATTTAACAAGTTGAATTTTCATTTTTCAAGGATCCTAGATGTTTCCCTCCAAATCAATGTATCATGACTTTTATTACTACAGAGTGAAACTGATTTATGTTTTTCATTTCAGCTTTACTCCTCCCTTTTTAATATTTGCAGTATGGTGACCATATTTTTGAAACCATATTTTTAAGAAAATGGCGTACAAAATTGAGCAGATCTGAGAATGAAGAAATAATGTTATTGTTTTTCAAGTTGAATAGGAAACTTCCATTTTTTTTGCCAATTATTTTGATGATTTGTCTGATGAGATACTGTATTAGATATCTATTGCTGGGTAACAAATTACTCCAGAATTTAGCAGCTTAAAAAAATAAACATGGCTTATTATCTCACAGTTTCTGTGGGTTAGAAATTTAGTTACAGCTTAGTAGAGAGCCTCTGACTCAAGGTCTTTCATGAGTTTGTAGTCAACCTACAGTTGGACTGTGATCTCATCTGAAGGCTTCACTGAGGGGTAGGGTAGGAGGATCTGCTTCCAAGTGATTGATAGGCCTAGGTTCTCCACCACATGGGCTTTTCCCACAATATGGTAGCTGCTTTCCCACTGGATGAGCAATTGAATAGAGAGTACCCAAGACTGTCAATAGTGTTTTATAACCTAATCTCAGAAGTGATATCTCACCATTAGTGACATTTATTAGTAGTAAATCCAACGAAAAGTCAGTGTGGAGAGGATTTATATAAGGGCATGAATCCCAGGATGCAAGGATCTTTGAGGTCTATCCTCAAGACCACCTAACCCAGCCTGGCTGATAACTTTTAAGAGTGACTAGATAGGAATAACAGCAAAAAATGCATCCAAAAGAAGGGTAGTCAGACAAGGAAAAATGTCAACTTGTAAAGAAATAAGTTTGCAAGCATTATCTCTCTTTGAAAACAGCTATTTTCATTTTTTTGTCTTTTTTTCCCTACTAATTATCTAAAGATAAATCTAATAAATCTAGAGATTTTTCCTGGGAAATTCTGCCTCATGAGGGATGATGTACGTTTTGTGTTTTTAGGGTCTACATGAGCAGAGCGTATCACAACTGGAGATGGTGTATTCCTTACCCATTGCCATTTTATATGGTTGACATATCAAAACAAACATGAGCAAAAGTAGCTCTTAAGGAGAAAAGAGGTTAGGAAAAGCTAGAGGTAATACTTTTCTAGTATAGAAAGAATGCAAGTCTGTGGAAGTCTTTATGTTGTTGTGAGATCAAATAAAGATGGGAGAGGGATATCTTCAAAGTGTGTTTTTAGGTCTGTTTTTCAGCATTATTAATTGGGGTCAGGTACCACCTTCTATCAGCATTACCTGGCTGTCCATCACTAGCACAGCTTTTGTCAGTGAATCACATAACCTTCTTAAAAATTAAAGGTACAGCCTTTCAGTTTTCTAACATTATTTTGGCTGTGATCTACTGTAAAACTGTATATGCTGCTTCCAGGTTTGAAAGACGTTGTAAAGCTTTACCTGTTAGTAAAGTATTATTCTGGTTTATCTTTTATAACTTAAGTGCTTAACACCAGCCTAAATGTGTCAATTCTCAAATTATGAGTTAGGCTTTTAAATTGAGATTCCCAGAGTACCTGAGTGGTGCAGTCAGTTAAGTGTCTGCCTTCAGTTCAGGTCATGATCCCCAGATTCCCAGGATCAAGCCCTTGTCCTACTCCCTGCTCAGCAGGGAGTCTGCTTCTCCCTCTCCTTCTGCTCCCCGGTCTCTCCCCACCCAGCTCCCTCATGTTCTCCCTCACTCACTGTCTCTCTCTCTCTCTCAAATAAATAAATAAAATCTTTATTAAAAAAAATAGAGATGCCCTGTCAGGTTAACATATTTCATTTATATAGTAGGTTTCAACCAATTAATGGATGTGATATGATAGTTGGTGCAAATTTTTTTTTTGATAGCTGCAAAATTTTAAACAAATGCTTGAGAAAACACAGTTGAAACACTTCCATCCACCAATTACCTTATGGTAATAACTGCTTAGTAAGCTAAAAACATATCTTATAAGTTATTATATTAGTTTAATAGGGGATTTTTGTGTGTTTACTGTGCTTTTGTGTAGATTAAAAGATACTGGTTTTGCTTTTTTCACAATATAAAACCATTGAATTACCAAGAGATTATCATTTGATCACAGTGCATTGAAATTAGTTATTCAAATGTATGATTTTACAGTTTATTACTTAACCAAGTGCTATGTATTACTGTTCTTTCTACATTTTGATTCAAATTTGGAAACAGACTAATCCTTTGGCTGGCTTGTGATTAATGCGTCAATCGTTGATACTGAAGTGTATGAAATATACATCCAGCTCAAGTTGCTTTTTCATTATTTTACTATTTTAAAACAAGTTTAATGAAATATATCCACCTCCAGAAATTTATATTCTGTTACTTTTTTTCCTCATTTTGTTTTTCTGACAAATTTATTGACATACATTCTATAATAAAACTAATAAGTTGAATAAGTTCACATCATATGTGGGGCAAGTACTTTAGTGACATAGATATGATAAAAGATCTGTGGTTTCAAGTTTAGGCATTAGGTTTAGTCATCAACATTGGAGAAAAGAGAAAGAACAGAGATTTATACACACAAATAGGCCTCCATCACCTCTTTATTTATTTTTCTCATTTAATTTTTATAGAATTATAGAATTTTACAGCTAAAAGAGACCTTAGGGATTGATCATATGGCTCAACATCCTTGTTTTACAGGTGAGGAAATTGAGACATCAAAATTTAAGTGACTTTCCCAATATAGTTATATTTTCTCATCTCATTTCTGACTTCCCTTGTATTCAGGCTGCCCTCAATATTTTAATATCTCGTTTAATTTGTCTGGAAGCAATTCAGTAATTACGGTTTTTATTTTGCTTTGCTTTTTAATTCCTTAACTCTCATAGCAATGGCCATTTTGGTTAGTGAGCATGGAGTGTGGTGTGCCCCAAGGAGGTGAGTTGGGATATGCTGATATGGTAGTTGATGATTACAACGGGTTTAAGTAAATAGTGCAGTTAAGAAAGAAGCAGTGTAATTAACAATAATGCTGGTGAGAAGTATGATTGTTTTTACTTTAAAAGTTGAATTTGTTTCTTTACAAGTTGAGAAGTATGATAAATTTATTTAAAGTTTTATTTAAAGATTAAAACAGTGGAACATTTCTTGCAAAACAAGCCAAAAGAGTTAAATAAGGCTAAATTTCTCAGCTTTTTTGGTTACATTTAAATGACACATTTTAATTTTTACATTTGTTTACATGCCATTTGGTAACACTCACTATAGAATCAAATTAAATAACTGGAAAAAAGCTTCAGAAAGTAATATTGTAAGTCTTTTTGAATTAAAAAAAAAAAAAAGACTACAAATGGTATGCCTTTTAGTAACACAAACTGCTCTTGCAGGACCAGATCTTTAAATTTAATGAGTAGGGTTTTTTTTTTTTTTTTTATGTGTTTGAGGTACCTTGTGACCTCTTAGTACTTAGCTATTTCCCTTTTCTCCTTAGAAAAGACCTCCTTGTGGGCTTACCTTCCTTCTTTCTCTACAATTGTTGCCATTCAATTTTAAGGGTGTGATTGGTTATCATGTTTTTTTCTTCTCTCTTTTTTTCTCTTTTTTTTAAAAAAATTTCTCCACCTACTGTGTTCTAAACTACTTTGGTGGTCTGTTCTTTTGGAAGTAGAGAAATAAACACTGGGCTGCCCATTTGATTCTGAAGGTATTGTAGAAAATATTTTCTCACAGAATTTCTCATGTTCTTATGCCATTGAGTAATATCTCATGATATCATTTAAAGATTCTAGTTGTTACTTCCTAATTGAAAAATATTGAAAATTTCTAAAAGGATAAAAGTAAGTAAATTTCCTCATTTTTAAGTCTTAATAAAATTAGCATTTTAGAGATAACACTTCTGGTAGGCATCTTAGGTCTTTATTTGAGATAAGAAAAATCTTTTAAATTTCACTGTTTAAGAATTTAAATTCAGATGTTATAGAATTACTGAACAAAACTAATTTTTTATAATGAGTTATTTTAATTAGATTATTTTCTATGCCAATCATCATATACCGGTGATTTAACAGTGTTTGCTCAGGAAGAGACTTATGGAATTGACTTGCTTCAAATACAAGTATTTAAACAAGAATGCTTTTTTGATCCTCCAGGCTTGTTTCTATTCTTCCCATCTTCCATGTGTATTTTCTACTTAAATGATATTGTAAAACCATTCTCTATTAGACAGAGTTGTCTCCACAGCATGTGCTATTTGAATGTTTGGTGCCATGGAATTACTAAAAGTAATTGCAGTTACTTTTGTCTTAT